TTTGAGGAGATGGGATAAAAGATTATAAATGGATGTTATAACAGTGTGAGGAAACAGGAACTGCTCCGTGCTATCTTTTTCAACCCATCTTCACTGTTGAAATCCTTTTAAAAACACAACTATAAATCAACTCACTGCTTGGTGCCTGGAAACCCTGGTCTACATCATCCAGGCCAGGCATTTTCTAAAATGTGAAACAGTCTGAAGACGACTGTCTTGAAGTCCACGTGTGGGGGGAAACCTGTAATAATTCTATTTACCATAGAGTAAAGGATGGCTTTTCACTTGTGGAAGCCTTGCCTCAGAATGACTGTGGACATAAACTGAACTGTTCTCAGCTGTATTCTTGGCCTCCCTAACCAGTGAATATGTATGGTACTGGGTGGTGTAAAGGGGCAACTGTTGGACTAGTAAGATGAGGCAAGGACGCTGGTGAATCAATCAAGGAAGCTGGTGCTGCATGGTGAAGGGGAAAGAGGAGCCAAACTGGGCAGCACTTTGCGCTTTTTTTAGCTGATGTTGTTAGTCTACTTCATAATAAGTAATAGATTCACCTACAGGTCTCTTCAACCAGGCAAACTGAAAGTGAGAGAAATTTTTTGGGTTTAGTGCTCCAACAGCTTCAGTCATTTCCACGCGGCGGTAGGAGATGCCTTACAGCAGCAATGCTGTGTGGGTGGGGGGTATGAGACGTGGAGTGTGCTGCTCCCCTGTATCCACTCTTGGAGTAAGCAAGTATTGTTGCCCAACTATTAAGATCATCTACAGAAACATACCAATGTAAAAAATGGCAAAAGAGACAAAAAAAAAAATCCACAGGAATGATAGACAGGCAATGACCAGAAACTCAGAAGTCACTTCTAACTTCTAGCCTACTTTATGATCAAGATGACACCTCATAAAATAACAAAATGATCGTCTGCTGTAGTTGTAGAAAGGGCTCTGTGAAACAAGATATTCCTTTTTTGCTTGTTTTTTTTGTTGTTCTTGCCCCTGTGCTTTTTGAACTGGGCAGGGGTAGTAAATAACACTGCGCACCCCAAGGCAGATAACTAGCTGTATAAGGAGATTTCTAACTCAATCTTGGACTCTGGAATATGGTCTTTTATGGTAATAACACACATAATTTATATGTAACTTCAGTTGTCATGGTAGCCTGGCAGCGCTGTGAGAGTGCGCGTGCATACTTTCTCTTTCCGCAAGCAGAAATAGTTTTATAGCATCTTCCCCCTCCAGAAGAGGTTCCCCTTTCCTCTTGCTGTATGCACATAACTTACATGAATGCTGGTGCCAAGTGCGCACACCCGCTTGAGACCCCAGCCCGGTGAGCAGGAGACTTGTGCAACCACATGGAAGTAGGAGCTACTCTGTTTCTGCAAATGTCCTGTACACCAGGAAAGGGTCTGGCTGGTGTTTTTAAAGAGTAAATGAAAAATGTTTTTTAAAAAAGTCAATAATACAAAACCAAACAATGGTACGGGCAACCCCTTTCCTGCAAAACTTGAAGTAGAATAACTGCAACAATGTGTAAAGCAGTGTACATGCTAGGGGGGATGATGCATTCTGGTTAGGGTTTATTTAGTGGATATGGTTTCTGTCCATGGGCTATGTTAGGCAACTCATTCAATATGACTCAACAACAGCAACAAAATTTTAAATTAGGGTTTTGGAAAAGCCTTTACGTTCCAGACAGTTGTTCTTGTCCATAATCCATTTGGAGAGCACGTGTTGGTTTACACTGTATTGCTCGTGGTAAAGCCCTGAACTGCACAGGTTGATATCCATATACTAAAGCAGCTTATTAATGAGTGGAGGTGTGTGGACAGCTTCTAGGATATAAGGTGGGAAGTCTCTCGTTGCTATTCTAGTAAGCACTGCTGCCAGACTGGAGAACGCATCGCATTCAAAGCATTTTTTTTTTTATTCGACTGAATTTGTGATTGGCCAGTGGAATAGGCACTCTATTGATCCTTTTCAGAAGATACCATAGATTTTAGATACTAATCTGTAAATTTTTTCAAATTAACCACCAAAAATTTCTCTTATACTGAATAAAAGAAAGGTCTTCCCATTTTTTCATTTGTGTGCTGTCCAAGCTTGGTATTTAAAAAAATAAAAATGGTGTATGAATATAGATGATTTTGTTTCCTACTCACATCAGTTTCCTTCTGAGATAAGGCTAGATTTTTGCTTTTACTGTTGTCAGTCAGTGCATATTTCATAGGGTAGTGTACCAACCTGACTTGAATGATGGTGGGGTTTTGCAGAATATCTTACTTCAGCTCACACATGATTAAATTATATTTCTTCCTGTCTGAATAAGCACTTACATTGGAACAGATTCGTACTTAACTCAGAGTTGGGGTAGTGCATGTCAGTATTTCACTTGTGTCGCTTAAGTCAGTAAAATATCAGTTTTGATGAGGTAAAGATAGAAAATCATAAAAGTGGGAGGGGGGAATCAAACATTAACAGTATAGTAATGCTGTTCTTTTCAAATACCACCCAATAATACATATTGCACTCTCAAGCTATTGGAACATAGCTTGGTCAAAACAATTGACTTCATGTACTGAAGAAAATCAAAGAAAATCTTTTTTTCCCCTCTCTTTTCTTTGGAAGACTATCTTCTAGCTCTGTCATGAACATCACAGGTGCACGATTAGGCCAGGTTGGATGGGGCTTTGAGCAACCTGATCTAGTGGAACGTGTCCCTGCCCATGGCAAAGGGGTTGGAGCTAGATGATCTTTAAGGTCCCTTCCAACCCAAACCATTCTATGATTAAATCTAGAGTATTTTGCCCGCCATTACATATTGCCTTGCTAGCAAATGTCCTGTTTCTGCTGCATTGCTCCTGAAACCTAAAAGGCAGATGGTAGAACTGCTTCTCTCGATATTCTTTTTGTCATGCCCCGTGGGGCACCAAGAGTGCCCATCTATGCTGCAGGACCTATCTAGGGAGGGATTTGTCCCTTTCCTGGGGAAAGTGATTTGACCTGGCTGGGGAAAACCTCCTGTGGGGCTGGCATGAGCGGCTGGGGGTGTTAGGGCCCCCAGAAGGAAGATACTCCAGCATCTCCGAGTTTGGTCCTGCTTGGGAGCTTCCTGGAGAGCCCAGGCTAATGAATTCTGGAGAGTGTAAAAAATGGTGGCATAGGCTTATCTGATTTCATTCAGAGTTCAAGAATAGCCTTTAAAATAATTTGTAGCCTAATTGAAGAGCTGCCCTTCCCCATACCCTCACTCTGTCTTTTGAAAGAACATTTGGACACATTTGTTTAAAAGATCCAAAGGCTGAAATTTCTAATACGCAACTGTGAGCCTGTACCTTCTTGCTCATTTATTGTCAGTAACAAAGAAAAAACTGAAATTAGGGAAGAGGTGAGTTGTAGGGGAGGAAGTCAGGGTGGCCTGAGCATGCTCACAGGCTTGGACGTGGTGACTGACTGAGAAACAGTCAATCTCTCTAATTCTAAGCATCTCTCACAGAGTAAGAATATATTCTGCTATAGACTGCTGCACTACCTAAATCTGAGGAAATCTTCAGATAAGTGAAAGGTGCAGAGGTATTGATCGAAGTATGGTAAAGCTAAGGATAAATTCCAGCAGCATCCCAGGCCAGTGATGAGCAAGTTACACTTAAGGAAACTGGGAAGAAAAGCCAGCCTGAGAGAACTGCAGGTAAGGGAGAGACGGGATAAAGAACAGGGATATTTCTTATTCGCAAATTAGGTGTCACATGTATGGTACAAAAAAATTCCTAGTAGAAATGTCCCATTTCTTTAAGCCCACTGAATCTGACTCAGATGCCAACTTAGCTCCTCAGCCAAAATTTTCCACCTAATTTATATAATACCGAAATCTGTATTTAGGTGTCTAAATAAGTGACCTGGATTTGAGAGTTAGCTCCACCTGAAGTTTCTGTAACTCTGCAGAGAAGTCAGTGAGTACTGCAATATAAAACCCCTGAAAATTAGGCCACCTGGCAAGACACAAGACATTTATCTTACGAGTAGGATAGGTTGCTTGGGTGGAACAGGAAGGGAGGACAATGGCACACAAAAATAATTGATAAATGAATTTTTTTTGTTGTTCTTGTCCTTCCTCCTTCCACCTCTGGGCTGCTGTCTTAAATGGCATCAGACTTGTTCTGTGACTTCAAAATATAGCATTTGCAGTCAGGTAGCTTTGCTTCTTGATCCCTGGCCAGCCAAATCTCGCCTATGTACCCACCTACATTGTGTTGTCGTAGGTGTGTGTGCATGTGTATATTAGCACTGTGCAGTTCAGACTGCTTTATTAGATAAGAGAAAAAATTGCATGGTAGCTCTGCAAATCACCCTTAAAGTCTGTGGCACTTTTGATTAAACCATACCTATGTGTGTATTTATACATATGTAGGTTGTTTATATGTGCGCACACACACATATATAGAGAGAGTTTACGGTTCATGTAATGTTGACAGAGAAAAAGAAATGCAGCACTGAACAAAGTAGAAATGTTCATTAGAAGGCTGTGTACTGCTTGGGGTATTTTTTTTTAGCTACACAAAACCTATTTTTAAGAGCCAGTGGTGGGGGAAAGATACCAGGCCTGAGCCCTGGGGTTTCCATCGAGCTGTATCAGGAGTGCCTGAGGAGCCGAGCTTAAGGAAAAGCAGGATAAGATCACAGTTTTCTCTACCCTCACTGGCTTCTTTCAGTGTCAGACAAGTCAGCACACTATTCTCTCAGAGGGACACTGCTTCAGGTTGGGAAACAGTATGAAGCTGTAATTAATGCATTTCGCAGTAACTTGTTGCATAGAGTTGTAGTTAGAAATTAGCAGAAGACATTTTGCTCCTTTCCTCTTAAACTGCTTCTTACCTCTGAGCAAGTGGTCTTGATTTTTATTTCCCAAACAAGATCAAAGAGAACTGATCTCCATCCCTTCCTCCCTCTGTCCCTCCCTATTCCTCATTAATCAGTGTGTCCAAGAAATAGCAAAAGGAGGTACCTACGGGATTTAGGAGAATGGTGAGGAAGAGTTCACCTCCTCGGATGCTTTTGTCCAGCTCCTGAGGACCCCCAGGGTATTCCTTGTAAAAAATAGTGTGAGTGAAAAGGCCACAGGTCTGTCGAGGGAGCACCTGAGAACAAAACAGCGCCGTTGTGATATTAACTTCTTTCTGCAAAGTTACCCTGGCACAGCCACCCGAATCCCTCCAGCAGCTCAAAGAAACAAACCAGCAACCCTTTCTGCCTCTCCGCTCTAGCCTGTTTATGGGCTCCTTTCTGCCTTCTGTACTCTGGTGGTAAGCGAGAGCAGTCCGGCAGATGTGGGAGATTTCCAGACGCCAGCTCTGAAAAGCTGTGACACACATGGGCTGAGCTTTCCTGCAGACCGTTTTATTCAGCTCAGACACTCATAATAAGTGTTTGTTTCCTGCCGTTTGGAAGAAAACAAAAAGCCAAACCTCTCTTCCCTTAGCAAGGTTAGTTTATTAGCAGATAAATACTGCTTCCTGGCCATCTTTGCTATCTCAGGCAATTAATCTTACTGTTCGTGAGACACTGAATTTGTATTCAAGGCTGTGGACCACAAAAGACCTCTTGTTTTATACTTGTTTTATACTTTTCCCCAGTCCCACACTGAGCCCCTCGTTGCTGTTTGTGAAGTGTGTCCGGGACTGGTGGGATGCTCACGTGAGACCAGCCTGAGGTCAGCTCCCTGTCCCCTTGTAAATCAAGAGGCTGTGTGTCAGAAACCAGCCAGCTCGCAGGCGTGGGAAAACAAGCTCATCTCAGAGAACTAGATAGTTTAGTTACATTTTTAGCTAGGTAGTCTGGTAGAGACAGCAACTCTCAGAGCATATGGGTATTGCCTAATCTACACAGAGACATAATTCACCTGAGGAAGGCCTTTTATTTCCCTCCAGTCAGTGTTTCCACTTTTCTACTCAGAGCAACAAGTAAAACCTACCTGCAGCAGAGCATTTTAATACATGTGTAAATGCACTGCTGAAATTGAGTATATTCCAATAGTAATTGGACTCTGTGCAGTAACTTCTTGGTTTTGACTAAGATGTTGTTTGTTTAGGGAATTTGGACTTTACATGCGTAGGCAATACTCAAAGTCAGTTGGGTCTGTAAAGCATCCCAGGACCTGCCCCTGAAATATGTCTTAACTGCACTTACGTATTTTCAGGCTTTGTTTCACCTATCTGTAGGGTTGCAGCTGGCTGGTAAGACAGGCCAAATAACTTTATACATTTTCCTGCCCTTCACACAGTTGAAGTGTGTATGTGAGGAACCTTCTCTCTCCTCACACAAATGCCTGGTCTGGAGGAGTCATGCATGTCTTGGGTCCCTGGCTCTAGGAGTTTCAGAAGCAAAGCTTGGAAGGAAACCTCAGTCTCACAGCAGTGTCATACTTGCTGGAGGAGATTACTTACACCTGCTCAACTTCCCAGGTGGTGGATTTCTAATCCTTTCATGCATAAAGATGAACCAGACCTTGAAACATAGGTCTTAGCCAGTTTAATGAATTTTGAAGTATGCATTTATAACTCAGTTGACAGTTGATGGGACTACAAGTGCATTTAGTTTCTGAGGATTACATTTGCAGTTCCCTGAGTTTGTGTGACTTTTTTAAAAAAAAAAAAATCTGGCTGCATAACAAATGCACTATTTTGGCATCTTTGCAAATCCTCGATCACAGAGAATTTTAATGATTGCTGTAAAACTTGAAGCTTTTGGTAAAAATAGCATGCTTTTGAATCACTTAAAGTACTATTGCTATGAAGCATGGAAATGTAGTGTACCATGATGCCATTGTGGATGAAGCCCCGTCTGTACCGTGCAGGCTTCAGGTGTGGGTATTCTTCTGTGCTGGTCACTCGGATGTGCCAGACCTTCTTCCAGGCCTCGTACAGCTGGATGTGAACCGGGTAGACCCCAGAGTGGTGCGGAGCCACTGCGTACCCCATATCAGTTGGTATGCCATGCTCCTGCGACACAGCAGAGGGAGGAATTTATTTAGGAACAGAAAAAGAACATGGAATTATTCAAAGCTTATTTTTCCCGCAGACAGCGGCATCGGGGAAGCTGTTGTCCTTGGACAGACTTGTATCTGTTTGTATTTAGCACAAGCTAAAAATTGAGGGGAGATGAGGGGAACTGGAATTACAGTTTGATAACTGCAGAGTGATAAATAATCCTCTTGGATTATGTTGTGTATACTGTTACATGGAATAAATTTGCCTGCCTGTTCATTACACATTGTGTGTATTTTAAGAGGCATCCTACCTGTTTGGTTCTTTTTAAAGGTAATCTGGTAAGTTGATTCTGCTTATTTACTAAGCTATCAAACAGCATTAGAGCAGTAAACAGATAAAGGAAAAAGTTGCAGTGACATATGTGGGATTTTTTGTTTTCTATTTCTGAAATAAGAGCAAGATTCCTTCCTGATTTAAAAAATAAAATATTAAAAATCCACTATAGGTTCTCAATCAGCTTCTATTTTTTTCCATGGTATAAGATGGTAGCAACAAAAGTTGGACTTTGACTGACATATTTTTCATTTCATAAATTATTTATTCAGCTCAGTTTCTATGAGGAAACTTGCATTTTCATGAATATAATCTATAGGTTATCTTGAAAATATCTTCCAATGGCACAATGAGGTATTTAATGTGCAGGCAGAAGGAATTAAGGAAGAAGCTTAACTGCGAGCGTGCTGGGCACGTTCCCTTCTCTCCTGACGCTCTCCTGCCTTTGTTCTGCTCCTCATCCCTCCTGCTCCTGACTTAGCGTGGGCTGTCTGAAAACCCCATCTGATGACGAGGCCTGAAAACCACATCTATAGCTGGGGATATATTTAAAAGAGAGCAAATTATTTGAAGCGTAAGCTATACATGTGAAAATGAGGCAATTAGTTTCATTGGTCTGAGTGACTGACTATTCAGAAATGCATCCGGCGTTTATCACTTCCTGGCAGAAAGAAAGGCTGTGCTCTGCCTCTTCTGCCCAGGCTCAGTTCCAGCAGGTCCCAGTAAAAGTCCTTTTCAGCTCTCCCACAGCATCTCCAGGTTGCGGGGCATCCTGCTGCTGTGGTTCTCGTCACATCCCTTCCCGTGCTTCGGCTGTTTACTGAATTAATTTTACTCCCGGTACTACAGGATACATCAGCTGTTTTCTGTTCATATAAAATTGATGTTCAGAGGGCAGTGGCTAAAATGTGAGATGATTTTTTTTTTTTTTTTGTCCTTCCTCTTGCCCACATTACCCAAGAATTGTTGATTACTTTAATTCCAGGAACAGCAGATTCTGCTGGGCACCTTCAAGTACTTTGCAAGAAAAGGCTTTTTTTGGTTCATTGACAAAAATGAAGTTAAAACTGAAGGGAACACTCGTTCAGACATCACATAATGCAACCACTTAAAATTACTCATTCCTTATTAGTAAACATCTTAGGTTACTAGCTGATCGGGGGGGGAAGAAACCCAAACTCACTATTTTGTAACTTACTGAGAGCAAAATGTAGTATCTGCTCATTAATGTTGTTACATACCTGAAAGGCATGAGTCAGTTTAAGGGTGAAATGAGGAACAGATCTCTAAGAAGTGTTGAATCACTCTCTCATTTTTTTTTGCCATGAACATATATAAAGGAAAAAGCTGTATCTAAAGGTTTCTGAAAAAAATCTGTCCATTTATTACTCTGAGTAGTTTATGGTGCTCATGCTGTCAAATACACTGTGTTAACTTAAATATACCGGATTAACTTGAATCTACAAACCTTCACCAAACCTGTGTTAGGGAGTATACAGACAAATGTGTCCTGAGCTAGATAATGAACACTGCTCTGAATGTCCAAAAGTAGGTATCTGGATGAATACATGCAAAATCCTGTTTATCTCCTTACTATTTGCTGCTGGTATTGCCATAGCAACAGAACGGTGAAATGGTAATCTGCCATTCAGAAATAAAATAAGGCAGCTTTTCATAAATTCTCAATGTAAAAAGCTAATTAGCCCCTGAATAAAACCTGCACACTATGTAGTTCATCATACAAATACATGACAGTCACTCGGGTACCCGATATGACTTCAGGAAACAACAAAAAAATAATCAGGTTTTCTTTGGTCAGTTTACTTGTGTAAATTAAATATTGTATGTCCTCTTTTAGTGATTTCTGTTGCTCTGTTTTCTTTTTCCCCCTCTCAATTTGTTATTAAATTTAGTTTGGGATTGAGAACTAATGTGTTAAAGGAGGAGCATACATTTGAATTGAAGCTGTTGGGCAAAATGGGAGATGCCTTTAGTGAGTATATTTTCTCATATATTCTAAGAAACAACTTCCTACAAGACTTTATTGGGTTATTTTTACATTCATCACTTACATTGATCTTTTTTTTTTTTTTTCCCCCCCTTTCAAAACTTGTTCAAAAACTTGTGTGTGTTTGTCTAGTTTGGAAAACTTCTGCCCCTTTCTGGCACTGAGAATGGCAGCATTATATTCCTTTGCACGCTTAAGCTGGGACCCCAGAGCCATTAATTTTGGACAGGTTAAATCTGTGTTCCTATTTCACTTGTGCGCTAAGAGACTTTCAATTCTAATTTAAATGACAGTGTAAGCTGAGGCGGCAGCAGTGGATGAGTTCAGTATTAAGAGAAAATTCGTGTTATAACCTGTGAGATAGGGGGAAGACGATTAAAACAGTTGTTGCATTTTTGGCAGAAAATTCCCTGAGTTGTCACTATTTCCCATGCATCAGTTTGCATCACGGAGTGGTTGGGGCGTGGTTGGACTGCTTAAGGGCTAGACCAGACTAGAGGATGCTCTCCAGGAGCACACCTTGTGTCATCCAGGCACGAGTGAGCACAGGGTATGCAGCTCAGACTGCTACCACCTCAAAAGAACTGTCCCTCCGATGCTTGCATGTGGCCAGCACATCTGGCCATCAGCAGCCAGATGCTTCAAACCAGGACACCTTCCAAAGTTTACCTTGCCCACAGCCCACGTGTGGGACAGGTACTTCTACGGGTGAGCTGAAAAGCTGAAGCAATCTGCCAAGGCTGCTTATCTCTCTCAATTATCAGCTTTGTTCAAGCAAGGGAAGATTTACTTGCAACTCCTAACCTCTTTTGACCTTCCTATTTGTGCAGAAATGAGCTGTGTTTGCCATGCGTCAGCATTATGCTCTCTGTTTGCAAAAAAAAAAAAGCCCTCTGCTACAGAAAAGGCAGGTAATGCAGAATGAGCACTGCCCTCCAGAAGGAGGTATATTCTCAACAAGCATGGCTGTGTTCCTGTAACAGTTCTTCTCTGAGCAGATGTTGGAAATTCAAATTAAAAAATGTTGTATGGAAGATTGTTTACATTAGCAGGATCTTGTCTGACAGTAACCCCCCAGTTTTTGATTGTACCAAATATTACATGTTCTTGTTAAAATACAGTAAGAAATAAAATGAAACAAAACCTGAAACTGTTATAACACAACTGGCATTCTGGTTCTTAAAGATCACTGGTGATTTGTTTTACAGAAACACCTAGTATTGGCCAGTCAGAAAGAATAAAAAAGCAGCCTTTTAATTTAAATCTTATGTCTACTGTAGATCTTTTCACACAGTCAGTTAAACTGCAGCATTCCCTTTGGTGTAAAGGCATTTATTAGATCAAAAAGTTAACAATACAGCCTCAGAAAAGTTTGCTAAGCCTTTTGACTTTGACCAACAGCAGGTGATAGAGTAAATTTAATACTTTGTTACCTTCCAATGTTAAAAGATTTATGTAAGCTTTGCATATTTTTAGTACTAGATATATTTTAAATATTGCTGCACATGGGTGAGGTTTCCTCTAAGAGATTATATGTTACTATGTCAGTTTAAAATACTTAAAAGTTCCTCTTATTTGGCAAATGAATTTGCTACTTCCTTACTTGTCAGCACTCACAAAAATGTTGTGGGGTTTTTTTATCCTTTATGGACGCATGATTTCTGTTCTCAAGGCTTACATTTCTGGATAACTTTCATTGAATAAATATTTCAGCTTTCGATTATTTTTAGTTCAATTCTCAACTTTAAAAACCTGCTTCAAAGCTCTCTAGCTAGACACGGGTCAGCAAACGAGAGGTGACAGTTATTGAGATACAGGGGCTCTGTGTGGTGCTATTTGCTTCCACGGTTGTTTTTTCATCTCTGTGGTGTGCTTCCTTGCCACGTGGCTGTACAGTGCACCAAGCAGAGAGTACAAGGGGGCTGAATGAAGAGGGTTTTCTGGTGTCTGTGTCAGATCCAGGACTGACAGGGACATGGGAAAAGCCAGCTTTTTACCAGTCTTACATAGGAGTCTCCCAAATATCTCCACGACTCCTGTTTTAGGCATCATTCACACCGTAGCAGGTTATCAAGAGGCAAAGATGTGGGATTTAAGACCTTAGGTTTCCGAGGATGTGAAATCAAGAAAAGCAGTCCAGCACTGAGGAAGCTACACTTGACTAGAAACATGTAGATTCTGCCTGTGTGTGGTACCAAATGCAGTTGAGAAAGTAGAGGCAGCCTTGGAGATGTGCTGTCAAAGCACACTCCTGGTACGGACAACAGCGCTAATGAAGATGGACTATTTTGGAAAGACCTTAAGGTTAGGCAGAATAAATCTCATCCTGCCTGCACAGAACAATGTTATCCTGTATATGCAGATCACTTACAGAATATTTTTAGAGGCAATCTCTAGAGGGCATCTCTCCTTCCCAACATTAAGTACAGATATTAATAATGGGAAAAATTAGACTCTCTTTTCATCTCATGTACATATTTTGCCTTTGATATGTGGTCACTGGTCTTCATATTCTTGGTATTTAATTGGTGTATTAAAAGCTCATGGCTTCCTTGCGGTTTGGGCAGCTCAAAAGTTTTAGGCAGAGGAAGTGCTAATGTGCATCTGTAGTTGGTTTATAAACCGGAGACTGAAGCCAAGGAGTGTTACTAGACAGGCTCTGAATTGATTTCTTTGTTTTGTATATGTGTATCTCTGAATTGATTTGTTTCGTATATGTCTCTCTCACTTCTTCGTATCAGATCAGAGCTACCTTTTTACAGTTGATGATAGTCTTTGCCCTATCTCTACTGTGCTTTGGGCACGTATGCTCACAAATGAGCACAGAAGAGCAGGAGACAATCACTGAGCAAACAAATCAAGGGACAAAATAAAGAGCTACAGCCTTTGGATTAAATATATTGTACTTGGTTTTGTCAGATAAGGATATACAAAAAGGGGGAGGAAGGATACCTCGAGATTAAAGGATGGCAGTGAAAACTTGGTTCGTTTTGTTTTTGGAATATGTACTATTGGAGATGTCTGCTTGCGCAATTTGTTCACTTCTTTGTATATCAATAGCATTGCCTATACTCAATGAGAATAATACTTGGGATAATACCAGTTTGCAAAATTTAATCCAAGGCTTAATCCTTTGGTGTCTTTAAAGGATTTTGGGATCCTCTGATAGAGAAGACCCCCACAAAATACGATCAAGTCAAACCCAACTGATAATCAAAAGAAATGTCATTTGTAATTTCTTTTGCCAGGCTCTGAAGTGTACCATCTGTATTTATGTAAAAAAGGCGACACTGGGAGAGCAAAGTTCTGGGTAGTCTGCAACTTAATTTGCCACAGTTAAAATCGCTGGCTTGTGGTCCTCTGAGGCTTATCGTGAGCGCTTGAGAATAGGTCTGGCAGCGAGGGCTGTGGGAGTGGGGCTATGGATGGGGGTCGCTGTGGGGCCCATCGCTCAGGCACGTGTAGAGAAGGATTTTGCCAGGCAAAACTTCCCACGCTGCCTGCCAGATCCAGAGCAGCGAGGCAATAACACTTAAAGATGTGAGAAAGTCTCTTCCTCTCACCAACTAGGCATGAAACGGTAGAAATAAATATCTCAGTGACACATAAAATACAATAATTTGGAGGGATCTTGTTAAAGGCAGTCTTCTGGTTCACAAGCAATTCGTGTGTAAGGGAATCCTTTAAAGACTGTTGATTTTGCTAAGCCCCAGATACACAGAGGTATCTGCACTGAAATCAAGGCAATGAGATCCCTAATTAACAATTAGCTGCATGTATACAAAACTGTTTAGGTATCTGATTTCTAAATGCATTTTGTGATACAGCTGTTTGAGGCAGGCTGCAATTGTAAGCCCCCATTTTATTAAGCATCATTGAGGTATGGATATATCTGTGTAAAACAGAAGAAGGTCTTTTATCTAGTTGCCAGCTGTAACACCTGTATTTCTTGCCCATGTTCAGCAGACTGTATGTGTACTTGAGCTTCTGCAAACCAGAGATTATGCATACAGGGTAAACAGATGATGCTTATGTACGTTTATAGCTCTGTGTGATAATATCCATGAAATACTGTTTCAGGTGCACTGGCCTGTATTCATTAAGCTTGACTTTAATCCAGAATACTCAAGAGAAGGACATTTCTTTCATGAAACCTTTTCTCCCAGTGGATGACAATCCCAAGCCTGATACTCTCTTGCATGGAGAAACTGCTGACTCAGATGGGATTTGGGTGCAGGTTTCCAGACTGTGATCTGTTTTGGCTTTCTTCTGAAATGATAAAGCTGGGAAGAGCCAACAGGTCTTAATGAACAGAATTTTTGTTGTGGCATTGGGATCTTAAAGCAACCTTGACTGTTCTTCTCGGGTATAATCCTGTCCTGAAGACCATGTTACCTTCTTATCCATGTTTTAAAAAAAAAACAACCAAAGAAATAGGTGAAGAATGAGTGTGACTATACTTCCAAATAATTATTGTGTCTTTCCTTGCAGAAACTGACACAAAGTGTTTCCTTTAACTTTGGAGGACTTACAGAAGTGCAGCTGTACAACAGGGAGTTCCTTTCCCAAGTAAGATAGGATTCTGAGGATGAGAAAGCAGGGGAGGATACAAAACTACTCTGAACTCATGGCTGGGACCTCTCTGATAGCTATCGGGAAGGTTGTCATATCGGGAAGATAAATTTCACCCACAGAGGGGATTTCACAGGAAGCCTTTTGAAAAGAAATGTTCTCATAAGTAAATTGTACAGCTCATATAGATTCAAGGTTAAGAGGTTGGTACAACCCCTGTCCAAATGTTAGCAGGAAATAAAACTGTAATAACAGCAGCCTTTCACTGACATCATCTCCTTATTTATATGCACCCTAAGGAGTCTCTACCCTTCAGTGATGATAGGGACATAGCCTTTATCTTTTTGTAGATGACGTTGCAAGCGTTCTATTATAAGCCCTGTTTTTGGGTTATGCTATAGATTTTACTCCTAAAGGAGGTTTGACCCAGAGGACTTAATGTTTCTGAAAAAAAAACAGGAGAATTTCCCCGTAAGTTTAAAAATGAACACACCATGTATTTTTGAGATACAGATTATATTAAAAAATTACTCTTGCATTTAAAATCTGAATTATATTTGGGTGTCTGGGCCAGGCCATACAAAAGGCATGAACTGGCCATGCCAGGAATGAAGGCTGATAGTAAAGCAGAACAGCAGAAAGGAAAAGAATTCATCCAAAATGCCTCTGTCTTAACACCCTGCCAAGCAGGAGACAGGAAGGGGGGAAGTCTGGCAAGAAGAGTAAACAGTTAAGCCATTTTTAATGAATTTTCTTTAAAGGCGGTTAGGAAAATATTTTTGTAAACAAGGGAATAATTTGCTTTCAACTGCTTGTTCAGGCATCTGCCTCTGCTGGTTTCCTGATGCTCGTTGGCTCGTGTATAGGATGGGAGGAAGGGGCAGCTGCTGGCTGGCCTTTCTGAGCTGCGGAAGGCTGAGACTTTGGTTCCCTGGGCAGCAGGGAAAGCCCCACAGTGTCACTTTGCTCTTTTGAGTAGCTTGGCATTTCTGTGCCTTGCCAAAGACCACACAGTGTCTTTTCCAAATCGACCATTTTATGGATTTCAGGTTTTCTTTGTCATGCTGGATAAATAAGTAGCATTACCCTGAAGGACTCTAAATGGTTTCCACCTGACCTTGGCATACATGTACTCAGGGCAATGCTAGGAGGGCAGCTCTTTAGGTTAACACCACAAATCAGCAAAACTGAAACATCATTATCTACAAATATTAGCAACAGGTTAGCTGTGTAAAAAAAGAGTGTTTTTCAAGCAGGTTATCTAAAAAAAGCACAGTGAAATCCAGGTTCACTTATTTGCTTCATTAGCTTCAAGACTTCTCGCAAACCACACACATTTAAGGTTCGCTGCAACTTTCTTCCTCCCCTATTAAAGATGTTTGCACCAGACTTCAGGAAGCTGATAAACCCTGTGTATAAACCCTCTCCTAAAGTTTAAAAGGCCAGCTGATACCTGCTCAGATTTCACTGCTGCTCATCCCTATGGTCTCACAAGGTTGCTTGGGCGAAGGGCTGCTGCCTCCCCAGGAAGCCCGTGTTGGTGAAAAAGGCTAAGACAAAATTCAGCCCAAGTTTGAGTCACAGAAAGGCTTTTTTGGGGGGCTCAGTTTCCAATCTTGCTGCCTTATTTTGCATATCTATGTAAATATATATACATATAATATAGGTAAACATAAAAACAGCTTGAGAAGCACAGCTATAATATGCGAAAATATCCTAGTTGAACCTTTTGGTAACTTTTACTCACTATTGCAAATTCTTTGTTGAGGATCATCTGCTCCACCAGTGACGACTCGTTGTGGAAGAGGTGAGGCTGCATGTGACTCCACATGTGGGGAAACCACCAAAACTCATCCACAGATCTCAAGAGCAGGTCATCGCCTTCATCCTCCTCTTCAGTCCCTGCAAAAGAAAAAAAGAAGGTAATAGAAAAGCACCAGCAGAAAATGCCCGTAATTGTTTTTTAAACATGAAGAGGCTGCCATAAAACCTAATGTCCCTGGCCTGGATATTCCCCTGTGCTGCAGACAGGCTCTACCATACCACAAAAGGGATGAGGTGCATGGCTGGTAGCTCTCCCTTTCTATTCCTGGCATGGTGTTAACTGACAGTGATTCTAATAAGAACTCATTTTCAAGGGCTGATTGTTGCGCTATGTAATATACCTAGGAGCATTTAGAAGTTCAGGTTTCCCATGAAGGTGGAGATGGGGTGAACTTGTACCTACCTGCTTTGGTCCTGTGCAGTTGTAGCTGGCCAAAGTGGCATCGCAGAGAGCTGTATGCCAGAGTCTGTGTGCCAACCCCCCCCGGACTTGTAGCTACCTCATCACTAGCCCCCGTAAATGGAAATCTGATAATATCTGATAAAGTATGAAACAAGTTTGCAATAGCTTCAAAATATAATTAGGTGGAAAACATGAAGCTTTGAAGGCAAAGGTGTTCCGAATGTTGTTTCCTATGGTTCACTATTCAGTTTTTGCCAAGATTAATCTTGAAGTAAACACAATAAAACTTTTGTGTTCGTGAAGAGTATCTGCTTCAGGCAGAAGCAAGCATGTGTGGCTGTAACAATGAAAACCTTCCATTTGAGAAATGATACAATGCTGCTTCCACCATCTGCAAACATGCGTCTGCAGTGCTTTTTCAAATTGGAAAGGCAAAGTTACATTTCAGTAACTTCACCCTCAAATTACTCAATAATACTCGGTTTATTAGCAGCCTTCCTCCTTGTTCCTTTATCATTCAAATGCTTTTATTTAGCTTCAGTCAAAGAAATAATTGTCAAAATCAGTGTACTAATGCAAACATAGATATCTTTTCTTCTTACAAGCCTTTCAATGTTTTGCAAAATTCATTGGAAGGAAGTGCTCCGTGGATGTCACTGTTTACTTTTGTGGCACGAGGCAGGAACATACAGATGGCTGTTCGGTGCATGCACTTCAGCTCTTTGGTTTTGTTTTTATTTTTCACTCTTGCAGTGTTTTTTTGAAGAACGCCACTACACAAGGAGAGCATTACTTTGAAACTTTCTCCTGGTGTCACCGAATCACTTTACTCCCCTCTTTGCAGCACTCTGCAAGCTCTGAGAAAGTTGTTCCCGCTGATGGCAGTGCTGCTGGAAAAAGAAAACAACCTTGTTTTCTAGGTAAGTCCTTACTGAAAAGAAAGGGCCGGTGGCTGCTCGTTCGGTGAATGTCTGCTCCTTTGTGCAAAACTTCTGTACATGGCATCTGTTGAATGACCGCTTTCTTGGTTTTTGGGGTATGTGGTTCTCTTGCAGTCACCCAGGCACAGGTGAGGGAAATGTGATCAGGGGAAGAAACCTAACATAGGCTTTCAAAATAGGACAGGAGAGAAAGGAATAGGAGTTTCTGAAGCCATTGAAGATCTCTTTGGTAAACCAAAGGTAGAGAACTGAAGGTAGGGATGAACAGGAAAAAAATGGATATTTGAAATATATAAAGAACAGCAATCACTTGACATAATATTTAGGTCAAAGTGTAATTTAATATCTTTGAAGTAGAGTATTGTTCTTGAAATAATTTCATTAATAAAACCAATGTATTAAAATCCTATTTCTCCTACTAATTCCTTTGTTAAATATAGATACAACAAATCAAACTGCACTTTTTTACCATAACAAAAATCAAACAAGGCAAAGTGTGACACTTTCCAGTCTAAAAAACACCCAACAACCAATGGCAGACCTGAAACAGAAAGGTTGGATGTTTAACATTTGGTGGTGGTGTTGCTTTTGAGGATAATTTTCTTTACAAGCCTTTAAGAGTGTTGTTTGATTTTGTAAGTTCTTAAGTAGCATTATTTCAAAAAAATTTCATGCAAAGAGATGCAAAAAATGGTGCATTTGGTGAGTGCTTATTTTGTTAAAATATTTTTGCCCAATCACTTATTTCACAGTATTGGAGGCAAAACAAGGGATTGGTTTTAATTTCTTTGTACAATCAACATTCTTTATGTAACCGTCTATCTTCATTTTAATGCGAAATCTGAAAAATGCAGTAGACCTACAATCAAGGAGGTGAATGTATACCTGCTTTGAGATGAAGTATGCGCTTTACACAGGTATGTAATAATTCAAAATTTGTGCATAATAAATAATTCCATTCTTCAAAAATTTAACCATAACTTAATAGGTTTTTTTTCCCGGACTCAAAACTGAAACTAAGTTTGAAGTTGCTGTCGATAACCTTATAAATCTTAAATGCAAATCCTGAGAACATCTCAATTTCTACTGTCACAGTATGACCGAGTAGAAAGCATTTGCTACAACTGCATAACTAATAGGGTCTACTCAGTTTTTTGCTAATAAGAGTTAAATCTACAGTGCATAGTTTACCAGTGCCACAGAAGGGAGTGGTGGTGAGATGACGATCAGTGAGGCTGATGTGTCAGCTATTGTACTTGCGCACAGGCATACCAACTAGAATTGGTATTTGGTGTACAGATGTCAGCAACATCTTTTGATGCAAATGTATAACTGTTTAATCTGCCAACACATTCCCATGCTCATCTCCCTCCTGTAGTTATAAATGATCCAAGTTTTGGAAAGGAGAGCAAAATCACACATTAAGGAAGTCAATAAGGCACAGCAGTTGCAGTGTGCTAATAAAACATGTTGAATATCTGATGCTAAAAGCCTCCCTGGGTAAACAAGCCACATTCACAGTAATTAAAGAATACCTTTCCATGTTTTATTTATAACGAGTCAATAAAGTGTATATTGCACGGAGAATACTTTGAAACCTTCCCACTAAGCTGAAATGACAAAACGCCACCACCAACCTGTAAGTGAAGTGTTCACTTAAAAAATCAGATGCATCGCTGAGTACAGGCAGTGGCAGGGCCCTTAATGGAGGCAATGACATGCTTCAACTCATTAAGTAGTTTAGTTCTGTGCTGTTTTTGTAAGCCTTGAGAGCCTTAGAAGGACAGGCACACATACATATTCTCCTATTTTCTCTCTACAGCAGGAGCAAACCTGAAATTGGTCAGCATTGTATCAGCTGGGCAAGAAAACCTGTCACAACAACGTGGAGACCGTTGGGATGAATGAAGAAAAAAATGTATTGGCAGGTCGGGGGGTTTGATTTTATAGAAAGGCTGCATGTTTTGTGCCAGCCACTGTTGAGGGCATCATAGTGTTTATAATAAATTATCTCTACCTCCTTCCTTCCTTGAATTACCTTTCTCTGCAGCGGACACTGCAATGACTGACACCAGCTTTACTCTGTAGAGGGCCAGCAGGTCGGGGGGTTTGATTTTATAGAAAGGCTGCATGTTTTGTGCCAGCCACTGTTGAGGGCATGGAAGTGTTTATAATAAATTATCTCTATCTCTACCTCCTCCCTTCCTTGAATTACCTTTCTCTGCAGCGGACACTGCAATGACTGACACCAGCTTTACTCTGTAGAGGGCCACAACCAAGCAGCATCCTACTTTAGAGCGCCTCAGAGCCTTGGGCTACTTTTGTTTATTTTGCTGTATTATGTGTGTGTCCAATTAATCTCCAGAAGGAGTAACTGCACAGGCAGGTCAAGATGAAGTGACGAGAATACTGAAGTTCTGTCTCCGAAGTTGCTCTCTAATCACAGGTCGTCTGCCACTGGCTTGTTATATGACTCCAGGCAAGTAATTCCATCTCTCTCTACCTCTCATTTTTCTCAAGCTCTCTAGCCTATATCGTTAGTCTGTAAGGTTTCCTGGGCAGCAGTTGCTTAGTGTTATGTGCTCGCACAAGGGGAAAACAGCCTGGACTTTGACAGTGACAGTGATACAAATACACAATTTTGGTTTCCTTCTCTCTTCTCATCCCTCAAATGCTTTCTCCTCTCCCTTTCTCCCAGGGACCTCTGTACCCTCCGAATGGGTGGTGAAATGGAGACACAAAAGATGGGGTAAGCTCATCTGTTTGGTGTTCGCATACTGCCAATGAAAAGGGGAGTACTGCTATACCTACACTGAAAGGGGTGACCTGCCTTACTCCACAGCTACCTCGTAGCCCATGATGGCTGGGACTGTATCGTTCCCAGCATTTACACTTACTCTCCCATTCTTTTGCTGCTGTAATGCTGCTGCCTCTGCTCCAGATAAGCTTCTCAGCTTCCCCAGCATCACTCAATGTCACTAAATGTGGCTGAACAGGTTGACAGCTGAGCATTTTGGAGATGCTCTTTAAAGGTGGGAAGGATATGGGGTTTGGTAAAGAGGAGGACAGGAGGTGACTCTTTTGAAGTGAGTTGCTCAGTATGTCTTTTTTTTGCCTTAGCAGTACTAGGGAGCAGCATGGCTCAGTGGCAGCAGAGGGAAGCCTGAGTGGAGGTGCAGCAAACTGTTAAGGAGAAGGCAAAGGGTGTGTGTGGGGGGAGGCATTGTGCTGTGGAGAAATGGAGCAAAAGAAATAAAGGAGTCAGGAGGAGGAGGAGGAGATGTAAAAGACCTTTCACAGAAACACAGTGCAAGTGTGCAACTTGTTACTACACAGTGTGAAAGGAGCAGGGTTTCAATACAAATTTCTTTTCATCTCGTTTTCCTTTTATCATCCCTCCTGATTTGCAGACCACTGAGATCGATTACCTTTACAGTCGTAACAAAATCTTGTGCATCCCATTCAAACGCTTCTGCCTCTTCAGAGGTTTTGACACATGAGTTTTCCAGTCTTTACTATTTCATCATACCTAACATACTGGAAAAACCTTAGTATGTCTTCTGTGCTGTCCTGTCTTTTGTGGAATTATAGAGATCTTAGCAGCTACTTTGCCTCCTTTATAACCCTGAGATTTACTACCACACATCTTTCAGAAAAGCACCAACACCATCTACGCGTTCCTGAGAAGCTCATCTCTCACGTACCTTTGCCCCTTTGGACAGTGAGTTAGACACTGGATGTTGAAATGGTGGAGCATGTATTTCCCACTGCTCCACTGAGTCAATGTGGTATTTAAAAAGGGCATGTTTAAAGCTTAGTTTAAAATCCTGTCACCTATTTAACTGCAGCTACCTGAGAGCATGAAGTTCCTTCTTACCTGTGTGGTAAAATTTTCCTGAAAATCCAAGGTTGAAGGTAAAATTTGCAACCTGAGTGCGCAGTAAATTTTGAGTCTCTAGTAATGCCTGAAATAAATAAGAAATTAACATGCATTTAGAAAAGTGAATATTAATTTTTGGAATGCCTCATTTTAAAAGTTGTGTCCAACTGAGGAGATACAAAAAAGAAGATCCTGTTAAATGTTTCACATTTTATTTTGGGCTCATTCTTTTCTTTTTTTTTTTTAAATAAGACTATTACAGTGAAGCTTAATTTGTTCCTTTAGAGTCTGATGGTCTAGCAATGCTATTTAATAGTACCTAAGTACCAAAGTAGTGATGGTTCTGTAACTTGGACTGAGATACTATACATTGTTTGCAGTGATCTATGGCAGGACTTGAACCCAGCCATTCAGAGGCAGCAATATACTAAATCACTAAGTCACCCACGCTTTGGGTTTTTAATGAAGCTTGATAAAAATGTCCTTAAACCCCAAAGTAAAATTAGGAATACTAGTTGCCATCCAGACATGGAGGTGTTGGGATTTACTTACCTGCAGAAACTTTTTTTGATTGTGCATGAATACCAAATTCAGGCTTCCGTGTGAATGAGCAAAACTCCAATTTTGAGCTATGATAGGTGTAGTGTCTATGTAAGATATTAAATCCCTTTTTATTTTTATTCTCTCCTCCAAGCAAAAGATAAGACCAATCTAAATGAAATGGAGGAAAAGGGTATTGCTTATAGAAGAAATAGGTGTAGTCTTGGTCACCTATCCATTTTTTCTTGGAGGTATTTCCAACCACTAGAGAAAGAGAAAAGATGGTTCGGCCTGTGTGAGCTATCTACATTTGCTGTTAGTTGACAACTCTGCGTTGCTGCTAAAGATAGTCTTTGCTGCACAGATATCTCTCTGCTTTCAATCACCAGCCCACATAATTTGGACGTGCTTCATATGCGAGATGGATAGTGCATGTATCTCCCTCCTGGTCTTGCCAATGTTGAATGGGTTATAAGCTCTATTTTCATCAATTTTCCACGTCTCCATTATGTGGCTCTTGAGAACTTTTCCCGTTATCTATTAATAGCATTTCTATTGATTGAATGTTCATGCTCTTGCACAGTTCAAAGACAAAATGAATACAGTGGTTTACACACAGTTTACCCACAGTCCAAGTCCAGCTAATGTTTCCTTTCATTTGAAAAAAATACATTTTGTATGGTCATTAGTAATTTCACTTAACGTTACAGGAAAACAGTTCTACCTTTTTGCTCAACCCACTGGTCTAATTTAAAAAACAACAACAAACTCTAATTGTGACCATAAGTATTGCCAGTCCAGTGCAAATGATGAAACCAGGGTTTAAGCAGCTGAGATGCAGCCTGATGGTGTGTGCAATCCTAGTCCAGAGCAGAACTAAGCAAGTCAGGTTTCTGTGCTCTCATGATTTATCGTATTACCTTTGCACTGCAGTGGGTTGGGAGGTGCTGTCAGCTACTGTCAGCATTTGCTGTAGGACATTAACTTCTTAAAGTTGCTGACTCCTTCCTAATTATGCAGATATTTGGGCACTGTGTGTGTTGGAGCACAAGCCTCTTCGGAAGCATCATTTGCCGCCTTCCAGAGAGGCATCATTTGGGTGCCAGGCAACTCAGGAGTGTAACACCAAAGACTGTCAGACAGTGTGCGTCTGCCTTCATTTTTTAAAACAGAAACACTTATTGGGTGTTAAAGAAGATGTAAAACAAAGATAGTGGTTATCGGCTACAACAGTCACCAAGCAAATTCCTTCCCTTGCTAAAGGAAATAACCTAATCTAATGACAGTAAATCTTGTGCTTTAGCATTAAATATTAAGATAGCAGTATGGTTTCCAGTCTATCTTGCCAGACATTAAATAAGTTATTTCAATCCTGTGACAATTTCACATGTTGGGACTACATTTATGTAATATATAACAACTAAATAGTCACTAAATTGTAAAACCTTAGAGATGAACACCACTGTTAGCTAAGACATTGAGGAAATCCCCAACTGGTGAAAACATGTGCTAAACTGATACCATTAAAGCCAACAAGCATAGAATCTGAGTCATTATATTTTAGAACATAATTTTCCAAGGTATCTAGAGCATTTTATATATGTTGAGAAATACTAAGGGGCTGCACAGAATCAATTCAATTTTCCTTTGAGGAAAGAACATCTTGAGAAATTATCATCACTTAACATACAGTATAAGAAGGTACACGAAACAAACATCATTACATCACTTTGGTTTTTCTCTCTGATTTCCCTCACACTCACGTTTCAATAAATTGACAGAACTGTGGGATAGGCAGAAATGTTCCAGCCCAGTGAGGTCTCATTAAAACACAGGGCGAGGATTAAGATGTAAATCCTGTAACCTGCAGCGTGTCAAGCATTTTTCTCTGTCGAAAGGGCAAATCTGTCACTCAAACTGGATTTGGCTTGGTCCTAAAGACTTTTTTTTTGCCATTTCCATATATGCATATTAATTTATATACTATGCAGCTAAACTTCATTTTCATGACCTCACCGAATTTTAATACTAAGAAGATATTGTCAGCTAAGTCAGTCCAAACTTATTTTGTCACTACTTCTCTCTTTGTAGAGGGGAGGATTAATGTCTTCCACATTCTTAATATAAAGAAAAAACATCTCTGTTTATGTGATTAAGGTCTGCCTTCCCTATTTTTAATAAATAGACATTCAAACAAAATTGCTAATGATGCATACAGCCTTCACTGGTAATTCTGCAAAGTAAATAATGAGAACTTTTGTCTCCTGTAGGTACAGACCTTAACAGCATGCAGCATAGAAAAGTGCCACAGCAGGAGAAGAGCATATGACTTTCTTCCATCACCCCTCTCACCCTCCCCCAGATGGGTGAACCCCTGTTTCTTTGCCTGTTTGTGAGGATAGCTGTGAATGCTGCTGCTCAGGCAGTCATAGAAGGGACCTTAAAGATCATCCAGTTCCAACCCCCTGCCCTGGGCAGGGACACCTTCCAATAGACCAGGTTGCTCAAAGCCCCGTCCAACCTGGCCCGAACACCTCCAGGGATCGGGCATCTACAACTTCTCTGGGCAACCTGGGACAGTGCCTCACCACTCTCAAGGTGAAAAATTTCTTCCTGATATCTAATCTAAATCACCCCTCTTCCAGTTTAAAGCCATCTTCCCTCACCCTATCACTACATGCCCTTGTAAAAAGTCCCTCCCCAGCTTTCCTGTAGCCACTTTAGGGACTGGAAGGGGCTCCAAGGTCTCCCCTGAGCCTTCTATTCTCCAGGCTGAAGAACCCCAACTGTCTCAGCCTGTCCTCCCAGCAGAGGGCCTCCAGCCCTCGGATTATTTTTGTGGTCTCCTCTGGACCCATGCCAATAGGTCCATGTCTGTCTTGCGCTAAGGGCTTCAGGTCTGGACACAGTACTGCAGGTGAGGTCTCACAAGAGCAGAGTAGAGGGGCAGAATCACTTCCCGCAACCATGGCTCCCGCTCCTGGATGGTGCAGGGAGGAGGAGCTGTGCATCCCTGGCATCTGCTGCCAGAAACCTTTCCAGGGCTTGCGCAGCCTCCATGCAAGGTGGAAGGTATTTATTTTATTTTGAGGGGTTTTGCAGGATGGAAAAGGGCTATTGAATTTTAACAGCTGGAAATCCTACCCAACACCAGGTGCGATCACAGCTATTCACATTCTGCCTGGCCCTGCGCTCTCCCCAGCAGCCCTCCTTCCCTGAGGATTCATTTGCCCCTGTCCTATCCCTGTTGCACGCTGACCTCGGGACTTGGCTGCCTTCACTGAGGGACAAATGGTAGGTGCTGCCCACAACTTCAACAGAAGGGAAATTCATATAGAGGAATGTGGATTAAAAAAAAAAAAAACACAAAAAACCCCAAAACCCCACACCACCACGCCCACCCCCAAACAACAAAAAAGCATGACAAATCTTATTTTGTAGAGAAGATTTTTCTCCTGGATATTTCACCTGAACACGGTATTTGAGTTTTACCTGCCAGTGTGTGGCTTTTCCTCAGACTCAGTGGGATTTTATTTTTTTTTTTGCTGAGTACTGGGGCTTAAAAGAGCTGTGAGTGCAGTAAAGCTACTTGCATGTGAAAATACAATGAGCATTCCCCATTGAACTCATAGGGGTGTGTTAAAGCAACAGCTGGAACTCGCTGTTTTATTTTTGGACAGTTAAACAGATCATGTGAGATAATTATCATTCCCTAAGGCAAGAACCGCGGAGCACACCTGCACACGCACAAACAGGCGTGTCTCAATGCCAGGCTAATAAAAGTGCATTGGTTGGGTTTTTTTGGTTTTTTTTGTGTTTTTTGTTTTTTTTTTAAGGAAATCCAAGCTTTTCTTTCAAATACAAAATCTTAATTGCCTGGAATCTCTCACAACTCACAGGTTTTATCTTATTGATTGTTTGCTTTTTAAATGAGGCTTCTCTCTGTGACACCCACAAGATACGATTTCTTCTACATACCGTGTTTACATTCAGCAGTCTTTTACATTAATCCATATAATTACCTTTTGTAGATTTGAAGTTGCTGTGTCTTTATTCTTCATAATTGGTGCATCTATTAAGAAGAAGTGATATTTTCCTGCTATGTCCTTGTTAATTATAACTCTATCCTTCATTTACATAATAAACTTTTTGGGGCAATTTCTGCAGTAACATTTCATGCCTAATAGGAAGCAATTTGCTTTCCTTTATTAAGTACATTAAAACTTCATGCCCCAGACATCATTGACTGTAAACATTTGATTCTGCTCAAATTTAATGCACCAAGGCATTTTGCTCTGCCATATTAGGTTTATTTATGTGCTATGTTCTGGATTGTTAGCTGCTAATGAGACTTTGGCTCTTATTGCTCTAAGGCCTGAACACTAACCTCATTTTAATGAGTTCATTATTTGCTGCCTTCTGAATGGAAGACAACAAATTTTCCTTTTAATTAAAGGTCAAAACACCTCTGGCTAAGGAAAGTGTAGAGGTTATCAAATCCTTAGAGAAAGTAAAAGAATGACTTTTTCTGATTTTGATGCCAAG